TTACTTCAAATGCTTGACGATCTACCAAATAAGATGCCAAATTACCATATTTATACCGATAATCTATTTACGAGTTTCAATTTGCTTGCAGAATTAAAACTAAGGGGATATCACTGTACTGGAACAATAAGACAAAATAGAGTTCCTAAGTGTTGCCCTTTGCCGGATAACAAAGTAATGACTACTAAAACTAGAGGTTCTGTTGATTATGTTATATCTAAAAATGACGGATTTATATTGGTCAAGTGGATGGATAATGCTGTAGTTACGGCTGCATCAACTTTCTACGGTATCAATCCTCAAAGTTACGTCAAGAGATATTCTAAGAAACAGAAGAAAATTATTAAAGTACAAAGGCTTTTGATTATTGCAAAATATAATACATTCATGGGTGGCACGGATAGAATGGATGAAGATGTGGCACGATACAGAATTGGCATCAGAAGTAAAAAGTGGTATTGGCCTCTTTTTACTTGGCTTGTTGACGTATGCCTACATAACGCGTGGGTGCTTTATAAGAAGTCCTCAAAGGAAAGAAAAAAAAAACACCAAATATAGTTTTCCGCCGAGAAATTGCACATATGTATATGCAGAAATATGGAGTACCGCCTAGACGTCCTGGTAAGCCTTCAGTCAGCAAGAATAGTCTGTCCATGAATTGCCCGACAATCTACGATATGGCAAAATTGACCATCTTGTTGTTCCAGTTCCTAACGGTAAAAGACGTAGGTGTGCAGGAGAAGAATGTTCTTCTGTGATACGTACACAATGTAAAAAATGTAATTTAGGACTTTGCATTGAGTGTTTTGACATTTTTCATACACAGTAGTAAATACATAATGTATATATAGGTAACCTCCCTGTGTGACCATATGGTCACAGCGTTTTTTTCTTCTGTTTATAACAAAAAATTAATAAAAACATATTTTTACGTTTATTTAGTTTTATTCCATTGTCATCTGCAGTTATATTTATGAAAAAATATATTTATTGATATTCTGGTAGAAAATGGGTTAACATACACGGCGGAGACAAGACGTGACACATCTAAAATGAGACGACTACTAGAGACAACAGAGATGAATATACTTCGACGAATATCAGGGAAAAGTCTGTTGGATAGGGAGGGAAGCGAAAACATAAGTAAAGCATGCAATATTGAAGACATAAATAGATGGGTGAAAAAACGGAAACAGGAGTGGAACGATACATTAGTAGAATGGCAGAGGATAGGATAGTACGAATAGCACGAGGTAAGTCACCAAATGGACGAAGAAGTCTTGGCAGACCAAGAAAAAGATGGTGTGATAATTTAAATTATTTAGGAGGCTAATATTGAAGAAGAAACAGGCTTTAAAGCCTACATACATAAAGGAAGAAGAAGAAGATATTGCAATTGTAATTATATAACGGTACAAAAAATATATTCCGCGGTAAACATACTGCACGCTTATTAGGTCTTGTTTCTTAATATTGGCGTAATTTTTAAGGTATAACAACTGTAATGTCTCTTTTAACAATTAAGTAACCTTATCAGGGGCCTGACGATGTCCAGAAATTGCAGTGTTCGAAACCGGTCGTCTAAGGTAGTATTAAATTGATTTTCAGTAAGCGTTTTCTTTTCTCTGTATTAACCTATTTAGAAAGAGGTTTTTCGAAGTATTTCAATTACTTACAGTATCTCTAATAATTCTAGTTATAGTTTTCAAAATTCTACTCTACTAGGATAGGACTCTATATCATGTTATAAACTCACTTTTTTCTTCTACCTTTATCCTGAATACACCCTTTTTCCCACTTGTAACATTAACCATTTATTTTATGTATCTTTATCAGGCAGGACTACTATCAGGATTCAATGACGAGCACAAGCAATTATTAGTGTACATACTCAGTATATAATACTAATTATTATTAATATTATATATACTAATAATTAATACTTTTACCCATGATAATTATTATTTAAAAAATGTCAACACTAATTTAGTTCAGAATATCACATGACGATGTTATGAAAATTATTGATGGTACATTTTTAAATCTAAAGACTTTTCTAGCAATATTATAAATTTTATGTTACGTATGAACAAGTCAGTTTGTACAAATATACTGTTAGCAATATAAACGCTTAAATTAATAAATATTTTTAACAAACTGGACATGTCATATTTTTGTTAAAACAGTGTAGTTGCCGCTATATAATTTTATATACTCTTTGATTCAGATAGTTTTCCTTTTCAATTTTTACGTTTTTGTCTTCTGAAAAAATGATCTAAACGATTATTGTTGGATTTTTTATTATAAAACATTTCCTCAAATATTTTCACATTTCTAAACCAGAAAAACTCAAAGAAGAACTTTCCTATCTTCAATTAGATTCAAACTCCTAGTCCACAATTCAAAAGATTACACATGTCCTTCTAAATCATACATGTTCACGTGTCTCGGATCCGAAACTACATTGGCAGCGTTCTTCCATATACACTCAGTAAATCTAATAAAGAAAATAATTTAGCAAATCATGCAACAGGATCATCTTCCGACCATTCAGGAACATTTCTGTTTACTCCCATCCTCTCTTCCTGTGATGGATGTATATTCTATTCCTTTTTCCTATGACACTTATAAAGTATCAGCGAAAATGTTCACTCTACAATATTCTATCTAAAATATTCTGCATTTGCGAAATCGTACATATTCTTACTTCTATTCTAGAACAATTCGTGAAGTAGAAATCACTGGGGTATTCCGAAAATATTAACAGATACTACTGTTAGTGGGAAACCCTATCTGAAACACAACTTTGGCCCACAATAACAACAATCCTCACAATTCCAAGGAATACAACAATAATTGTTGACAATTGTGCAATCAGATATCAGGCAGAATTTTCCTGATTAGCCTGTTCAAGGAATGGGATCCAAATTTAGATTGAATTGGGGAAGTAATTCTGTAATGAGTCGGACAGAAAACGAGGCAAAGACCCAGAAGAAGGCGACGGTGTTGCATGGAATCCTGGTGTATCTTCTGAGAGATTCTTACGGGCAGGTCGGATGATTAATTCAATAGAAACACTGAACTGGCTTAGATCATAAAAAGAACAATTCCTTTCAGAACTGTTACTGAACTTTAGTTAAACGAAGGGTGACTGTGACACAGAAAACCAATCTTCCCCTGTCCTTTGAACGCGACTCTTAATGAGTATGGCGAGACACTCAGTTTCAATATGTAATTATGAAGAAGCTTCGCAGCTCGACTAGGGCCTTTGTAGTTTGATGTAGAAATTGTGTAACCATATCTAGTTTTGAAATTATAAGATTCGAGTTAGAGTAAAGGCGTTGAAAAGGATCATAGATATAATGTGAATAATCGACTTAGGTCCGAGATGAGTTCATCTATGAGAGTTTCTCTAGAGGTGGTAAAGATTGTGTTTGTTGGAATGTGGTAGGTGACGCTTTTTTAGTGGGACATCTAGGAGAAAAGGCAGGACGATTGCTTTAGCAATTTGGGAGCATTTGCCATGGGACAAGGGAATGATTTGTATTGGTGCCCGCAATTGAGGCAGATAGTGATTTTTCTTGTGCATTCTTTGTTCAGATATCCGTCCTGACAGTATCTCCAAGAGTATTTGGACGAACAGGGACTTACGGGTGTTCTTCCATATTATGTTTCTTCTCCACATTACTTTCTGAAAACTTAACACACTTGGGTTGTAACAGTTCTTTATGACAAGTTATTTTACGTTTTTAAAATTTCTAAGCGCTTAACATTAAGGAAAGGGAAAGCTATCTGGTATCTTGATAATCAATGGAAGTAGATTCTCAATAAATTTTTTATAGGCCTATAGTTATTTTCCCAGTGGGAGAAATTATAAAATTATGCTGTCTTCGAAAAAGCTACAAATCAGTATTTAAATAATAAACTTAGTATAAAATGCGTATTGAGCAAAAGACTTCCCATTAGTTGTAATTAAATGTTATAAAAATACAGGGCGTACAAGGAAGGATGTAATATACATATCTGTTTAAAAATGTCGAGTTTTATTTAGGTATCCTGATTCTTGATGTCAGTTTTATCCTCCACTGTAGTACTAGTACCAGAAAGGTTGAATTTGCGAAAAAAATTGAAATCAAATTTTTATATAGGCATAGAACTTCAGGTGACAACCAGTTAATACTTCTAATACCAAAATATATTGTATATTGGTATTTTAATACGTTTTAACCATTTTTGCGTCAAGGATTACTCTTCTGTGGCCAAAACATACAAAATATAAATGCATGCTGCGGGATGATTTATGCCATTTTACGAACGTGATGTAATGGATAACAGTGTAATCGTAGCAAACTTGTTTGAAAAAACTGTTATATATTGTGTTGTTACAGAGACAGAAAAAAGGTAAGTACATACACTAATTTGATTCTATTTTGCGTTTGAGCGATTAAATAAAATGTATATATTATTTTCCAACTTTCTACACTCTGGCGGCGAATTCAGAATGTAAATAATAATAGTAATAATAAAACATCTTTCTGCATCTACTGCCTTCATTGACTACAAGAAGGGTTTTGATTCAGTGCTGCATGAATGGCTTATAAATATATTGAAAATATATAAAGTCGATGATAATCTCGTGACCTTTTTGAAGCAAATAATGGCAGTGCAAATTCGTTACTCCTGGGGTTTTGGGATCGAACTAATATTATATTGACGATAGTGTGTGAGGAACTTGGTGCACAGAAAGGGCCTTTTCTCATAGAATTTTGTGGAAATTCGATAAACAATCTGTCTCCAATGTACAAACTCACGGGGGACGAGGCCTATCCTGGTCAACAGATGTCTTGGAGACCATCGCCGATATAATAAATGTTCATCGACTGAAAAACCACCGAGAAACCAGTTTACACAGATTTTTTATCGAATATTTTCCTTTCTACTAACAGCCCTCACCATAGTTAATAATTGTAGCTTAACCACATTTATCAAAAAGAATGTAATAACAACACACATTTATTTTTTATTTATCAAACTTATCTCATAAATCTTAAACTTAAAATTATTAAACAAAGAAATTAAATGAAGATTCGCTGCTGGGAAGACTTGATGTATATAGACTAAGGATTTTTGGCCATCAACTCTCTTCCACTATAGTAAGGGTGACTTTTAATAGAACATTAAAAATACGTTATCTTTTTTAAAAATTTAAAAAACCTTAACACGTTTACATCATAAAACAGATATATCTTTAATCTAAGGATAAAATAAACAAAAATCTTCACGTCATTTCTCACCAATACTTAAAACTAAAAACAAAACTAAATTTTTCGCAATCTAAATTAGGATTTTTTGAAGAACTTCCAAAATGTTTTGACCAGCCCATCCCTTTTATCTTCTTTCACTTGATTATCTTCCTTAACTTCTGGTAACTCTGAAGTAATTGGTTTTTCTTCCTCTTTAATGGAATATTTAGCCTTTGAACTGGTTTTCTCCGCCACTTCATTTATCCGATCAAAAGAAACAGAACTAGAACTTAAATTTTCAGGATCTTTATTGTCTCTTACAGATTCACTTCTTTTAAAATGATTATATTCAGAATCAGATCCCTGGGAATTGGCCCCTGTGATGAGATTATTTTCTGATTTTATTGAGTTTTGTTGATTTTTATTCATATTTTCGAGACATTTGGTTTGTTTCTTTGTTTCAATGTGAAACAACGTGTCTTCACCCGCAGCGGCGGCAGATGAATCTGAGTGAAGACACTCGAATTCCTATTGTTTACTAGGCTTCTTCCCCTTCAGGTCTAGAATCTGAAATTAAGATTTTTGTTAACAAATTATTTATTAAATATTCCGTCAGGTGATTTACAACATTCAATACTTTGAAATATATACTAGTAGAATGAGGACAGTATTTTTTTTCATTTACATAAAGCTGTATCAACCATAATGGATAATAGCCACATTGAAAAATTGTTCTGTAGCTATTATTTTCTTTGATTGGTCGACATCAATAATTAGAATGAAAAATATAGATATTATTTAGTAAGTAAACAAGTAATGATGCCCAACCTCTCAATTATTTCACTTCTTTTTGTTTTTAGTGAATGTCCTTGACTTTTTAAATGCATACAATTATTATGGGCTTCAATGTAATTGTAAATAAATAAAGCATCATCAAAGATTTTTCTAATAATCCTTAAGTCTAGAGATCATACTGTGTTCCCAGCCATTGTTGATAAAAGCAGTACAAAACTATTGTTTCAACATGGTGGCTGCACATGTGCTTGTTATATGATAAAAATGCCTATTGGGAGATTAAGTAATAAATTGTACCATGACCTTAGAGTAATGCCAAAATCAACTGTTGCAGATTGAACTGTACAAGATAATCGACTATGAATTTGAATATTTAACAGGATTTCTGTAATTTGCTGTTGTCTTTGTTTTGACATATATATTGCTCTGTGAATATGTCTGTGTATGTATAATTTTCAAAATAAATATTACCTATGACTATGAGAATATTTAAATAAGGTCGATTACATATGTTTTCCAATGATTTTTCAAAAAATAAAAAAAACTAAGATAACCACAACAAATATTAAAGACGTTGTGACATTAACTTCAATAATTACATACATAGCCTGAAAATCAGTAATAAACTACCTTACCCTAGATGGCCTCTCTTCTGGAACTTTACTCTTGGCTCTAACTAATTCTGGATGGCCTTCGCTGATCATTCTCTTCTCCCACTTTTCTAATTCTAGTTCATATTTTTCATTTTCCTTGGCATATTGAGCTTTATATTTCTCCTTCTGGCTTTCTGGTACCTCTGCCCAATCATTCTTTATGGTTTTCATTAGGATATTAAGAGGAAGATTTCTGATTTTACTCTGTTCTTGGAGATATAACAAATAAGGACCTTGTGGTCTTTTGGGTTTCTGAGTTTCTTTTAATAACTGAAAAATAAATATATGCAGTAAAAAGATTTCGTGGATAACAAAAATTTCAAAACCAGAAATGTAATTTTATAGTAAATTTTCATTGTTGCTCCAGGCGGGACATGTGAAAATAAAAGGTTTTGACATTCTTAGATAATAGATTTTTGCCAGAAAGTATCCAGATTGACTTGGGGAAATGTAGTTCAGCAAAAATTAATAAGAATGTTTATAAACAATCATTTTTTCTCTTGTTTCTATTGGTTTTCTGACAGAACAAAACTAAATAAAAAAAGTAGATTTCAAAAAATAAACAAGTTTTAAAAAATCCTAATATGTACTACAAATTATCCAATATTAATTTAAAAACCTTGAATGTCACATATCCTGAGTGATCCTTAAAATGATTTCATTGGGATATCAAAACCATTGAAACTAGTTATCACAGAAAATAGGATCGCCATAGGATGGTTCTACACATCCATATGATATAAAGTCAAATAAGAAATTCTTTGGTGATAAGTCATTTTCTAAAGCTCCACTATTAGCCTATCTCTGAAGATACCTTAAAAACTAAACCAGCATACGAAAGACCAGACTGTTTACAATGTTTTAAATCAGAGGCATCAAAAATATTTAAATTAAGTATATATTTTTCAGTATCAAAATGACTGCTATGTTGTATTATCAGTTATGTTATTAGAGTCTATTGTCTTAAAATGGCACATCAGCTGCTGCTGCTAGTCGATATTCAGAGCTACTTGTTTACCCCAACAGGCAGCAACCTGAATATTAACTTTTTAAATGGCTGAAAAGGGTATATTTTGCCCTTTTTGCAAAATTTTGATACCAGGTGACCTAAATCGATTTAGAGTATTTGTAGAGGAAACAATTTAACTTGTCACTATCGATCCTGAGCAGATATGCTGTAAAATATCAGCAACTATTGGAGTAAGTGTATTTCACTTACTCCAGAGGTGATGACCTCAAAAATCAAAAACAGATATAGACATTTTCATCTTTCTTGGCGTGTGCGTGTAAAAACACTTGCAATAAGTTGTTTCATCTGTCTTTCCTTGTCTAAGCTCGATTCGTTTACCTCCTCCAGTGGCAGCTATCTGTATTCGTAAAGAGGCCGAACTTATCACCAACACCTTATTGGCCAAACGCATTGGTGTTATTGCTACAATATTGGGAGACGTGAGCGGTCTCTTCATTCCCTTCTCATCGCACTTTACCATGACAAACGTGACTCGCACAATTGAATTACGCATCTGTATATCAGAGAGAGACGAATATTAAAAATTCCGTAGTAGCTTATTTCAGACACACACCAAGAACTATGAAACCGAGTTTAGATACTTTCGAACAGAATAGAAAAAAATTAACCTATCGTTAGATATATTTATAGCTTTTTTAAAATCTTATGCCCATTCAAGAACTTGAGGTCTATAAAACATAAACAATAAATCGAAGAATTCAATGAAATTGATTGACCCCTTAGATGTTTTCAGTGTCATGACCTATAAGATCTTGCGTGTATATAACACAAACGATACTTGAGAGATTTTAAAAACATTTCAAACAAAAATTCCTGAAAGAATAGTTGGTAAATATAGAAGCTATTGTCAGAAGTATATTCCATACTACTGCAAATAAAATATAATAATAAATTTCCATATCACAAGATATATAAGAATAAATTTTAACAGTTTAATATACCTTCGTCGTCTTTCTTTTTTTTCTTTGTTCTTTCTTTTCATTATTAGCTAGTTGCAGGACTTCTCTCTGCTCTTCAGTTAAATCAGTATTAAATTTTAATATTTTTTTATCATAGATCTCTGATTCTTCGTGAAACTTTTCCTTCATTTTAGCCTTTTGTTCTTCAGACACCTGCTTCCATTCTTCTGAGAGTTTTCTTAATACATCTTTGGGGCCTATTTTGGGATTTTCCTTAACTATAACATCTCGCCGTTGATTAAGAAACTGTAGATAAGGTGTTAAAGGTTTCTTCGGCTTTTCAGGAATATTTAAAGATTTGATTCTTTCCTTTATGTCTGTTTTTAAGGTCCTGCTGGGGTTTCCGAAATTTGTCACATTTAACCTGAAAGTCATACAAAGTTTAATAGTACATGGAGGGAAATAATTGTTAATAAGTTAGTACTAATACATAAATGCTTCCATAAGTTTTTATAATGATTTCCATGCCTAAAAATCCGTTATAATTGTTTCTTTACCTATTTACAGATATAATTCTACTACTTAAAACATTGAATGTTTTTAATAAAAATCCTTGACCAGCCATATTTCTGTTGAACTTTTTAAGAAATTAATCCATATAATATAGATAATTCGTCCACAAAAATAGACAAACACAATGAAAAAATTGAACGCACACTTTATAGGTTAAGTTTGGATATCAAAAATAGAATAGAACATAGAACATCAGAATCAAGAACGCTCACAGTACTATGTCAATTGTCATAATATCAGTTTATAAAACTGAATGCATCTTACTGTATGTATGGTCACATATAGTGAAGGTTTGCAAATTTGAAATTTGTTGTAATTAATTCCAGTAAACAATCCAAACATCCTATCCTTTAAAATCAAAATTTGACTAAATATTATTTATAGATTACAATATAAACTTTTAAGTTAATTAACAATATATACTGCATAACAAGTCTTTAGTTTTTTGGATTGGTATATTGTAAGTATAAATATGTTTGATAATGGGACTAATTCTTAAATATGATCTGAATAGACATTCTAGAGAATGTAGAGAAAACATGACTGTGAGAAGTCATTTTTTTATAGGTACTTTGTATTATTGTTATAAATTTCATCAAATAGTAACACTACTTAGAACATTTAAATTAGAATCATCTAGTAATGTAGTACCAGTACCTAAGTGTTAATTTGTGTATTATTCTGCAGCTATGAATATTCGACTTTCTTTTTGACTTATTACCCTGTTCCTTATTCATTTAGTAAAAAAAAGTATCGCTTTCATTCCATTCAGCACTTACGAGTCTTCAAGGTAAATATATCGGTTCCAAGAGATATCTCATAACTTTTTTGATGAATAAAACTATAGCTTAACCACCGTTTAAGTGAATAAACATAACAAGGTGAAGTTCTTGTATAGATCAAATAAATAATGAAATTAGTTTGTATCGTCATATTACTGCGAAAAGTCACTAACTAACAATTTTGTAGTTTCGAGTTATTGGAAGTTAAAGATGAAAATTGATTTTATAAATTATCTTTTAAAAAACAATTTATGAACTATATTTTTTTACAAAGTTAAACACCTGCTGTAAAAGTTGTGCCATCATTTTTCAAATAAAGTTTATTTTTTCATAATGTTTTGAGAAAAATATGAAGTTAGTGAATTTTTGCACAACAAAATTACATGAAGTATCAGTTAGTTACTTTATTAATTAATACCTTTAAGAATACAAAATAGGGTTTTAAAAAATCATTCACTTTCTTCTTCTTGATCTTCTTCGTCGTCTTCTCTAGCAGGTTCTGCAGTATATTCTGAAGTATTGTTTGTGACGGCTAACGATTCATACCAAGGATGTAGCTCTTCTGGTATAATACTTTTACGACAAAGTTTCATTAAGTCTTGTTTCTTCAGAATGCTTATGGGAAGTGGTTGATGGTAAGCTTTTTTGATATTTGTAATTGTATTTTGGCGACCTCGCTTACAAACATTAAGAGTCATGTAGGGTCCAGTATGACTGTAACGGAATTTAATTAGACCTGGATATTGTTTTTCATAACGTAGACACTTTATTTTAAGCCATTTTACCGTATTACCGTCAGTATCTTTAAGGCGATTTTTAATCATTCTTGTACTAAGGTCTTTAAGGTCAATTATATCGGAGAAACTTAATTGATTAACATGATACGGATTAGCCTTTTTATTAATTCTGCTGGATCTGGCCTTTCTCATTATGGTCATCCATTCCATAACAGAGTTAACTGGTACATGCCTTTTTTCTCTCTCAATTGCGCTGTGCATACTGTCGACTTCCATGAAAGAATGGCCAGACTCCAAAAATTTTTGCTCAATAATATCAACGTTTGTGGTTTGAGTAAGAAACAGCAGTAGGGCTGCTATGTGCTGGTTTCTGTTTTGCCCTCCGCATGTGTCAGAAAACAGGGATATTTCTTTGATACTGTTCGGAAGTTTGGTGATCCACTGCATTAGGGCAGTACCGATTTCGTTGCTACCTCGTTTACCATTTACTTCCGACCAAACAATGCAGTATGCCTCGTTAGGAACTCTAGACTCATAAATTGTTAGGTTGTAAATACTTAACTTCCTACAATAGTATAGAAGCGATTCTTCACCAGAAGGTATTTGGAGCACACTTTGTAGATCGACTGTAACAGACATAAATGTTGGATCCTCATTAGATCTGACTTTATCTTGTACTTTAGCTAAATTTGCCTCATCTTTTCGCTTTATATGATTATTGTAATCGACTTGAAGTTGGTCGTTTAATGTCCCTGTCCTCTTAGCTTCACTAAAGGTATGGCACGTGGAACATTGATCTTTTTTAGGGACGAAGAATGATAAGTTATACGACTTGCAAAATATGTTTCTATACATTGAGTGTGATACCGGAATGCGATTATTTTCATTACAGTACTCTTTATACAAGAAGTACATTTTTGTGATGGATAATTTTGAGTCTAAATATCGCCTTTGAGTATTTTTCCTGCAGTAATGTGACTCCATTACAGGAAAGCTCTCAATGTGCTGTTTAACAAAAGCCATATCATCGTCTTTACACTTATTGTGAGGAGTCTTCTTACCACGCTTATCAGCTGCCGTAAAATTTCCATTCTCGCTACCTTCAAAAGCTCTATTTATAGGACCATTGCTAATGTTTAAAGTTTTTTGAAAAAACTTCTGACATACCCTGTATTTTACCTCGTTTTTCATTAGGTAGCATTCCCTGCTATGCTTTCGCTTTTTGGAAGGTTCCACATTTGCTCCAGGTCGCGCTGGTGGTTTTTGTGTTATAAATTTTAAGATAAAATCCTTTTGCCTGGTATAACTAGAAAGACCCCAAAATGATTTGCAAATATTAAGCCTATCCGTATCATTAAAATGTGTATTGCATTTAAATTTACAAGTGTCACATTTAACTTTTTGAGGAACTTTTGCAGGTCTTTCTTTTTTTGTTTTATATGGCAAACAATCAAACATTTTTTTCCTCTCAATATTTCTACTCCAATTAGAAGGATCTGCTTTCATCCAACGACATCGCTTTTTCTTGGGAGGAGCTGCTTGACCTTGTAAAGGGATTTCTTCTAAATTAATATTTGATAAATTATCTTCTTGTTCACCTTCACTGGTCCTTTCTGACCCCTCATTTGGTTCCCAATTTTTATCCTTAACGGAGTCGTCGTCATCCGTTTCATCCTAGAGTAAAAAAACATCGTAATAAAGCAGTGTTTAAACCAGGTTCTAGTAATTAACAATCATAAGATACAAAATTATCCTTACAGCATAATTGTCTTCCACGGGTAAAGTCGAGTACTCGAACTGTTCCTCAGGGTTTGAAAATTTACTGCATGAAGCCATCTCAATTATACGGGTCGTTTCCTGAAATAATGATTACTTTCTTTTTAAAGTGTAAAAAAAATTGGAACAAGAAAATAAATTTGTCCAGTCAGTATTACAATTACCAACCTTTGTTGCAGCTGCACCATATGTTTGGCTGAACCCAGTCTCACAGTTGTTTGAATTTATGGAACTGTCGTTTATACCTATGTCTTTTTCCGCGGCCATTTGGTCATCAACCTGTGATTCTACTGCAACACACATTTGGTTTGGCCTTATCTCGGAGTTGTTTGCGTTTATCATATTCTTACGGTCGTCTTCTAAACTTATTTCTTGGTCTGCGGTTATATGTACTGCATTCTAGAATTCAAAAAAGTTGATATTTTTACTCGTATTTTAATGAAGAGGGATGAAATCTATGATAGAAAAGTAGAAACTATTTTGCCCTAACCTAAACCATTTAGATACTAGATCATTCCAAAGTGTAAAAAAATGTTACTTTTAGAATCGAGTGGTCTCAAAAAATATTGAAAATTCGAATAGGATGTACATGCTAAAGCTTTCTTTTGACACTATAAATTAGATATCTAACAATAATTGTGTAGGGTAATTTATTAAAAATATTAATAAATACACGTGGTATTTTTTTAAGCACCCTGTATATTTTTTTTTTCTAGCATTTTACGAATTTATTTAATTCTAAACACACAATTACAATCTATGAGCATTGTATTAGCAAAACTCCAGTGTACCTATTTAAATTACCCAAATTATGTTCCGCGGTTCAATACAAGGGTAGACCTCTAAAGTCACGTCTGCAGGTCCTCCCACCTCCACATTCTCCGAAATGTAAATGATATAAAATACAAACTCGTTACAATAATATTTATTTTTCTAACTTACCTTTGTCAACGCTAACTGAACCAGTTTTAATGATCTAGAAGTCATTATTCCGTGTGTGTTTACACAATGTTGCACTAGTAATAATATAAAATTATTGTTTTTTAGAATCTATTAATCACCAATGTAGTCACTCCACTAATTCCTAACACCGACTGAAGACTTAAATTTTATCTAACTGCTGACTGTCCTGACGACTGCACATTTTTATATAAATATGTTATGATAAAAGTCACTAACTACTGTTACTGAGATTTTGCATTTATCATTTTTATCATTTGCAGCAGTTCAGTTCTGCGAAAACTCATTAACTCACTTAAACAGTTTTAGCATATCTTATTATTATCTAATTCTTACTTAGTGATTTTTACCGCTTAAGTATTAGCTTTTAGAGCGTTCTGATGTAGTTAATGATTTTATGCACAGTAAGAAAATATAAAAATAAGTCTTACCATACAGTTAGCTCATTTTAAGGTAAAATGTCAGTTAGTGACTTTTCGCAGTAATATGACGGTATATTCTAACATTTTAGGCAAACAAAATATGAGCTTTTTTCCTTATAAGAGATGAATCTTGTCACAAAAGTGCAAATTTTGAAATTGATTTTAGGTGAATTGACTTAGCGATAGTGTTTTCTATGAAAATGTCCTATAAGCAATCTGTTTTTTACTTCTAAGCTCAATACTATATGAACCAAGGTAAAACAGTAACAGTACCTACAATGTAATTTCTATGTATCTAAAATGCTATCTTGTTTTGTACCATTGGAATTAAAAGCAATTTTAGTTTCGGTGTTTTTTTTTTGTTTCAATCCTTTATTACACCGTGTGTCTTCATTTGTTCAATATCTTCAGATCGTTGATTGCGATTTTCTGAATTGGTTTCATATTATGTCTGGTGGACTTTGGATATTATCTAGATTACCACTTTTATTAAGA